TCATATCATATCATTATATCATATAGTTTGACTAACTAATGTATCTAGCAACCTATAAAAATCCAATGTGGACTTACTTATTTTTCAATTGAATCTAATTGACTACCTAATTGAATGACACCTATGCATTGGGGCCTCTTTTAATTAATACAAAATTGAGGTTATATCTTTTCAAATGTTCCTCAATTAATATATAAGGGATTAACCATTCATTTGAACTATATATAATTTTAAAATCGAGTAGCAACTACCGTCTAGATGCTATAATGGCCAGAGATCTAATATAAACTTATATATAGCTCTTCTTGTAGCTAGTGTCAATCAAGCATTATATATTTATTAATGCGATTAGCACAGCGGCTGCTAACCGTCTAGGTTTGGTGAGTTTATGGCTACTAAATAGTGTTCTGATCCAATGTAATCAAACCTTAAAAAATCGGAGAAAACAAGAACGTAAACAAGCATATGTTACATGTCAAAAAAGAAAGAAGCATATGTTACATGTCTAAAATATACAAAATCATATATATCAGACGCAGTTTCAGGCCTATTAATAATATAATTTCGTAAGGAGGCCCAGTAAGATCAAATTCGCGTGTTCTGATCAAATGTATTGGATTCCGTAAGGAGGCCCAGTAAGATCAGGCTATTTCATTAATTTATTGCGGTCTCTTAATTTATTATGGGAACACTCGTACTCCCTCCGTTTCGAATTAATTGTCATTCTGGAGAAAAAAATTTGTTTCAAAATAAGTATCATTTTCAAGTTTCGAGATAAAATTTATTAGTTTTATATGATATTCTATTTTTCTATTGGTTAAAAAGTGGCTAGGTGTATATGTAATTGTGTTTTTTTCTTGAAAATATGTAAAATTAAATGTTTTTTAACCTGTGTACAAAAACGTAGAATGACAATTAAAATGAAATGGAAGGAGTATTTTTTTTTAACTCCCGATAACAATGAAATCATCCGTATAATCCTTATTAATTATATTACATACGATTTATCAAATACACCAATTACTTGTCATTTTTGGGTATTTGGTATTTGGCTTGACTTGGCCGAGTAATAAAATTTTGGATTTGTTGATTTATTAAAAACGAGTACTTGCACTTTCAAATACTTACTAAAAATAGTATACTTGCAAGTACTTGCTCCGTTTTACTAATTGTTGCTTCTGAACTAATTTATAAATGATTATATAATTATTTGTAAATTATTTTTAATAATAGTTTATTAATTTTTGCTACTTAAACATTGTATATGATTTTTTTTTGAAAATTAGTTAGTTATAATTATAATCTAAACAATTTTAATAAAGAATACTTATTTACTTTTCATATGTTTTAAATCGATATATGATAAATATAAAATTAAAAAAAAACTCTAAAATATTTTTATAATATATCACTTTTAGTTCATTTATTTTATAACCAAGTAAATTAATTATAATTTAGAGATTTTTTTGCCTAAAAGTAAAAAATGGATAATAAATCAAGTAATAAATCACGAGTAACAAGCCAACAACGCCAAGTAGTTGCTTTTATTTTAGTACTTGGTACTTGTCTTGTACTTGTAAAAAATTGAAATAAACGATTTGGTACTCGACTTGAACAAAACGAGTACTCGACTTTAAGAACTAAGTACGAATCAAATAGCGAGTACAATTCGAATAACAAATAATTGTGCCCACCCCTAAATTCCACGATGAAGCTTTCCCCGAAACATTTAGATCGACAAATAGTTATGCATGTATGATACTTTCTATGGACATACCCACTCTGTAACATGTGATCATATTGGGTGGTTCTGATAAGCTTACATCCTATAATATGTAACAAATTAGGTTGTCTGGATTTTGAACCCCAAACATAAATGTAAATGTTTTTAAATTTTAACCATTAGGTTACGGTGTTTTCATTAAGAACATTTATATAGGATTTAAAATTTTATGGCAAATCAGTTTTTAAATTAATATTCTGCAAAATATCAATATTCCAAAAAATATTTTTTATTTCATAATAAAATAGAGAAATATCAAATAAAGTAAACTAACAAAAGTAAAAATATTATAGGTAATATATTAACTTAATATATATAAGAAATTTTTGAAATTTAAAAATACAAGACTTTCAAATAAAAATAAGTATATAAATTTTAAACACGTAATTTTAAGATTTTAGATTATACGCTATTGAAAATATTCACAAATAACATTTAATATATATAATTTGATGTATTGAATTATTGATAAGTTCCACATTATTTTAAATCTCCAAAAATATGCAAGAATATGCTACATCATCATTTTATTTACTATATAAATATATAGACTATATGCCATCAAGAATAGGATTATTAAAAAAAATATATAATATGAAAAATCATAATTTTATTTTACTCTTTTTAAAAATATTAAAATTTTCAAAATTGATTATTTCAATATAAAATGGAATCTAATATCAAAGAAGGCAAACTAATAAATAAATCATTAAAATGTAATTGATATATATATATATATATACATATATATATATATATGTATATTAAATATTTAGAAATTCAAAATAGATCTATATTATATAAAAAATTTTGAGACTATAAGTTATTGAGGGTGTTCACATAGAATTTTTTTTTAAAAAAATCCTAAATATACATTTAAACATAAAATAGAAACCAATATCAAACAAGGTAGGCTAACAAAAGTAAAATATTATAATAAGTTAACTTAATATTTATAATATTTTGGAAATTTAACATTAAATTAAATAAAAATTAAGAATTCATTTTAAAAACTAAAATACTTTCAAACAGTTATAAGTAAATAACTGTAACTCATTCTTTTCAAAGTTTAGGCTATATGCTACTATTGAAAATATTCACAAATAGCATATACTATATATGATGCTACAAGTCACTGAGAATATACACATATGATTATAAAAACCCATCAAAATATGAAAATTCATAATATATTTTACTATTTAAAAATGTTAAAATATTAAAATTTATTATTTCGATACAAAAAGGATTTTTTACAAAAAAAAATTAACTAAAAATAATAATATATAATCAAATGTTGTTTTCTTTAATTATATCCAAATAAAAGAATCAAACATAATCCTCATGAACAAAGAACATGTTAATAAATATGGAACTTGAAGTGAATGAAGAAACAATGAATGAGAAATAGTACAAAACAAAAACAAAAACAAAAACATCCTCAGCGAAAAGTAGATCGTACAAGCCGAAGACAAAATCTGATAGAAGAAGATGTATCACACCAAAAAAACCATATATACTAGAGAACAATTTTAATATAGGAACATGATTGGAAAGTTAATTTTCCTATCCCTGAGATATGTTAATTAAGATAAAATAGTGGGATCCCCAAACACAATTTATTTATGAGTTTCAAAATATTTTAATCAACCACAAGAATGAATTTATTTATCAAATAAGAAATTTAAATATTAATCAACACTATTATATTATGTTTTAAAATATGTTTTTTTAGCCAGTTACATTCAGAATCTTTATAGAAACTAACCAAATAAACTATATTGAAATAAATCTAACATGATGTGACCAACAAGAGTTTTAAAAAAATTATTGTTATTAAAAAAAACTACATGATGAAATCTTATAATTATTAGTCTGATTCACCTTATAACATATAAAATTTAATATGCTCTTTGTTGAGTTATGCCAAAAAAATATTTAGAGAACAATGTTTAAAAGATAGATACAAAATAAAGAATTTAAGAAAGCTAGTAAAATAAGTTAGTTAAGATTTTAAAGAAAACTTATAAGAAGACCAACACTTAATTAGCATGAAAGATAACATAAAAGAATGATAGAAGGAATAATCAATATGAATTTATCAATATAAATATACTATCTAAGTGATATAATCAACAAATTTACAAACTTCTAACATTTAGAAGAATTTTTTTTCAAGATTACAATGAGTACGCTACCTAAAATGTTTGCTATCTTATCGTCAGCATTTAGCAAATATAAAAAAAAATTTGGTAAATTAAGTGATAATTTTTAAAAGACCTTAAAAATCTTCATATAAACTCGAAAACAAACAAATATTATCTATCATACCAAAATAATATTTTCATATAAAAATAAATTATAATCATTGTAACGCATTATACAATCATACAAGTTTCACTACTATACAAATACTTAACTAGATCAAGTAGTAGATAAATATATTACTTTATATTATCTTACAAACAATATTTAATATTAATTAAAGTTCATTAAATTATTTATTGTGATTAAATTTTGAAACTAAATATTATACTATCACACACACACACACACATATATATATATATATATATATATCACACATTGACTGTAAAATTTGTATGAGTACAAGGAAAAATTAGATATTATGCAGAAGTTTAATCATTTCTGTTGTTTAAATAAAAATAGTTTTAAAAGTATGATAAAATGTTATAATGTATTAACAGTTTTCATGAATCTAGAAATCTATATAATATTTATATAATATTTTTAAAACATAAATAATATTTCCAAAACTTATGAATATGTTTATAAACATAATTATTACATTTATAAATACAAATAACTAAATATCTAATAAGATGGTATAATTATAAATAAACATAAATAATATCTTCAACAAATCATATTTTAAAGTTATAGAAATAAATTAAATTTCTAGTTTAAATTTTATTTTAAAACTAAACTAAATTATTAATAAAATATAGTCTAAATAAATAAAAATGATCTAAGATACAGAAATGGGAGAAAACAAGAACGTGAACAAGCATATGTTACATGTTGTCTAAATATACAAATCATATATATCAAGCCCAGTTGAAGGCCCATTAATAATATAATCCCGATAAGAAGGCCCAGTAAGATGAAAATCCCACCGTTTGTTCGTCCCCTAGTTTTCTGGGCAAAAGGCTTTTTTTCAACTCATCTCCCTTCTCTTCTTCCACCCAACCACCACCGAGTTTTTTCGGTTTCGCGGTTATTGAAAATCTCGTTTCCCGGGCGAGGGAACAAAAGGTAAAGTCTCGTGTATTTTCGCGGCTTTGCCTACTTTTTTTCAATTGTTTTTTTACTTTCGTGGAAAATTAATAGCCGAGTCGATATCGTAGCAGCTAAAGGATTAGGCTTCTTTTCCGAATCGCAATCGATCGACGTTCTCCCCCTCAATCTCCCATCGTTTTAGGTAAAGCTAAATCAATGATCGATCTGTTTTCTTTGTCTTTAAATCTACACTAAGCAAATCACAGAGAATAATTACGTTACGTAGCTGCTGCCATCTTTCGTTGTGTGTTTCGATTCAGATCTATGAGCTTTGTTTCACCATTCTGATTTAAGTTTTTGTGTGTTGCATCTCTTTTTGTTAGGAATCTGATTATATATTTAACATTATATATCATTATTGGAGAGCATCATTAAACATGGATAATGGAGCTAATAGAAGGAGAACGAGGAGAAGTGGATCTGGTTTGGAGCAGACTAATGGAGGAGAAGTTGTTACTCCAGCTCCTGAAAATGTATCTCAACAAAGCAATGCCTCTGTACCTCTTAAAACACCAGAGGCAGATAGTCACATGAAAGATCTAAAGGAATCTACTAATGATGTAAACGTAAAAGGGATAGCCAATGGAGTTTCTGGTGAAGAGCAACAAGCAAGAACCCCTGTGACCATAAAGAAAAGTTCTAAAACCAAATTCTCAGGCTCGCATCGTGAACTTGTACTTGGACTTCCTTGCCGTGGACAATTTGAGATCAACCGGAGTTCCAAGAAGCTTGGAGTTGGTGTTAAAAAGGATGTACTTGTTTCAAGTCACAAGAGAGCTCCTAAAGATTCTGCTGCTGCTGCTGCTGCATCATCTTCCGTTCATGCTAACCCACCGCCTGTAAATGGATCAAAGAAAAATAAGTATGTGAAGAAAGTAGAAGTTATAGAAGATGATGAGTACACAAGGATCAAGAAGAAACTTCGGTATTTTCTTAACCGGATTAACTACGAGCAAAACCTTATTGATGCCTATTCTTTAGAAGGCTGGAAAGGTTCAAGGTTTGTTTGTTTCTCTCTCTTTGTTACTTTTCATTTTGACTATTCATTCTGGTTATTGATATTTTGACAATGTGTTTCTTTTGTAGCGCGGAAAAGCTAAGGCCAGAGAAAGAGCTTGAACGAGCCAAGAAGGAGATTCTACGACGCAAGGTTAAAATTAGAGAGCTTATTCAGCATCTGGACACACTCTGTGCCCAAGGCAACATTCCCGAGACTTTATTCAATTCTGATGGAGAGATTTCTAGTGAAGATGTAAGAGTTATTATATTTCTAAATTCAAGTTTTGTGTCTCTTAAAGTATTTGCTAATACGAGCATTTGTTTTATTCCAGATATTCTGTTCAAAATGTGGTTCGAAGGACGTGCATCTTGATAATGATATCATACTATGCGATGGGTTTTGTGACAGAGGCTTTCACCAATACTGTGTTCAACCACCTTTGCGCAAAGAAGATAGTAATAATTTCTGGCCTACGTACTTGCTAGTGTTTTTTGAGCAGTTTTTGTTGGTGTGTATGAATAACTTATTGTTGGTTTTGATTTTTATGTAGTTCCTCCGGATGATGAGAGTTGGTTATGCCCCGGATGTGCTTGCAAAGATTACACCTTCGACTTTCTTAATGATTCTTTAGGGACAAAGCTTTCAGTCAGCGACAGTTGGGAGGTATATATGTTAAATGGTTTTTATTGTTGTAAAGGAGAAGAAACTTTGAAAACACCTGACTGACGCTTCGTGCAGAAAGTATTTCCTGAGGCAGCAGCAGCAATGGCTGGTGGTGGAGGTCAAAATCTGGACTGTGATCTTCCTTCAGATGATTCTGAGGATGAAGAGTACGATCCAGATGGTTTGAATGATAATGCAGATGATGAGGATGGCAGTGATGACAGTGATGAGTCTGAAAACGAAAATGGAAGTTCAGATGAATCTGCATCTGACGAAATGATTGGATCATTTAAAGACGCAAAAGATATAATGAACCTTCCGTCTGATGATTCTGAGGATGATGACTATGATCCTGATGCCCCGACTCGTGATGAAGATAAAATGCAGGAAAGTTCAAATTCAGACAACTCAGACTCTGAGGATGCTGAGACTTCCTCCAAAGGCGGTGAGTCTGATGAGCAAGATGAAGTTACGCCACGTGTGAAACCTGGCAGAAAGAAATCTAAGCTCGCAGATGTTTCCATATCAGAGTCAGATGCTGGGATTGATGATGATGGTCTTGTAGCTGTTCCGGGGAGGAGGAAGGTTGAAAGGCTGGACTACAAAAAGCTGTATGATGTAAGCCTTCTATCACATTTTACATAACTAATTTTTGTTGTTTTGGAAAAGCATATGCTGATATATCTATCTTTTATGGTGTGGTATGTGCAGGAGGAATATGAGAACGCTCCGACTTCATCAAGTGATGATGAGGATTGGGATAAAATTGCTGGAAAAGAAGACTCCGAGTCAGGAGATGAAGATGAGGAAACTGTGCCTCTGAAACGGCCTTCAAAAGCAGAAGATCATACTTCTACTCAGAAACCTACACAGAGACCGAAAATAGAAAATAAGAAGGCTACTTTGATAGCGCCACAAGAAGCACCCAGAGAAAATGGTGTCTCTGGTGGAAAAAGCAGCTCTGCATCATCTAAACAGACAAATCCCAAAACTCAGGTAAACAAAATATAGTTGTCTGTATGCTGAAAGATGTCAATGCGAAAGTACTATGAGAGAGAGTTCGGTTTACAGTTTCCTCTTACATGCAGAGATTGTTTGAGTCTTTTAATGAGAATCGATATCCAGACATTAGCACAAGGGAGAACTTAGCCAAAGAGCTACAGATGACAGTTAAACAAGTAAGGAGTTATCTCCTAGTAAATGTTTTTTTTTTCTTCCTTTTAGTCGATTTTATTTCAGCTTATAAGCTGTTTATGTACTTTTACAGGTTTCTAGCTGGTTTAATAATACGCGTTTTTCGACAAGCAAAAGGATGCTTTCAAAGGAAGGTGTTGAAAAGTTAAGAACAGGTATTGAACGTGAAGGTGAGACATCTGTTGCTGGAAGTAGCAAACAAACTGAACCAGTCACAGAGAATCCGAGTGGAGCTTCGGAGTCAACCAGTACTGGATCAAGAAAAAGAAGGAGAAGGTAGATTTGGATTCTTAATCATGAAAGTTTTTACTAGTTAACTTATGAATCTGAAGACCTCCAAAGTTGTAGTATTGCAAAAATCAGTGATGCTAAAGTGAAAAGTTGAGGCAAAAGAAAGATATATTTCTTCAAATAAAAATAAAAATTAGATAGGTTCATTTTAATTTGTATGTTAGAATTTATGATTATGAAAGTTTTTGGATTTTGACAGTTTTTTTTCTGTTGTGGTTTTTAGAGACCGGTTTATTATTAATAGAAATCGTATAACTCAATTGGTTTGATGGCAGGGATGACTCTGCATCTGACGAAATGATTGGATCATTTAAAGACGCAAAAGATATAATGAACCTTCCATCTGATGATTCTGAGGATGACGACTATGATCCTGATTCCCCGACTCGTGATGAAGATGAAATGCAAGAAAGTTCAAATTCGGACAATACATCAGACTCTGAGGATGTTGAGACTTCCTCCAAAGGCGATGAGTCTGATCATCAAGATGAAGTTATGCTACGTGGGAAGCTAGGCAGAAAGAAATCCGAGCTCCCAGATGTTTCCATTTCAGAGTCTGATGCTGGAATTGGTGATGATAGTCTTGTAGATGTTCCGGGGAGGAGGAAGGTTGAAAGGCTGGACTACAAAAAGCTGTATGATGTAAGCCTTCTATAACATTTTAGATAAGTAAATTTCTATTTTTGGTTTTGAAAACCCTGTGCTGATATAGGTATGTGCAGGCAGAATATGAGAACGTTCCCACGTCATCAAGTGATGATGAGGACTGGGATAAAATTGCAGGGAAAGAAGATTCCGAGTCAGCAGATGAAGGAGACACTGTGCCTCTGAAACAGCCTTCTAAAGCAGAAGGTCATACTTCTACTCAGAAACCTAGTCAGAGACCGAAAAGAGAATATAAAAAGGCTACTTTGATAGCGCCACAAGAAACACCCAGAGAAAACGGTTGCTCTGGTGGAAAAAGCAGCTCTGCATCATCTAAAGATTCTAAACAGAAAAATCCCAAAACTAAGGTAAACAAATAATAGTTGTCTTTGCGCTTGACGATGTCCTTACTAAAGCACTGTGAGAGAGAGAGAGTTCGGTTTACAGTCTCCACTTTTGTGCAGAGATTGTTTGAGTCTTTTCAAGAGAATCGATACCCAGATATTAGCACGAGGGAGAACTTAGCCAAAGAGCTACAGATGACAGTTAAACAAGTAAGGAGTTATCTCATAGTAAATGTATTTTTTCTTCCTTTTAGTCGATTTTATTTCAGCTTATAAGCTGTGTATGTACTTTACAGGTTTCTAGCTGGTTTAATAATACGCGTTTTTCGACAAGCAAAACAATGTCTTCAAAGGAAGATGTTGAGAAGTTAAGAACAGGTGAGGAACGTGAAGGTGAGACGTCTCTTGCTGGAAGTAGCAAACAAGCTATGGTAACCGAACCAGTTGCAGGGAATCAGAGTGGAGCATCGGAGTCAGTAAGTACTGGATCAAGAAAAAGAAGTAGAAGGTAGATTTGGATTCTTAATCATGAAGGGTTTTAGTTAACTTGTGGATCTGAAGACCTCGAAGTTGTAGGCATTGCAAGAATCAGTGATGCGAAAGTGAAAAGTAGAGGCAAAAGAAAGATATATTTCTTCAAAAATAAAATTTTGGATAGATTCATTTTTATTTGTATGTTATAAATTTATGATTATGAAAAAATTTTGTTTAGATTTTGACAGTTTTTTCCTGTTGTGGTTTTGTAATGGATAAAGAGACCGGTTTACTATTTATAAATATGGTCTATACAACAGTCAACAGGTTTGCGAGCTGAACCGGTCTGAAATGTCTTTTAATGTGTAACGTGTAACAAAAGGTAAGAGGAAAATGAAGAAGGTGCTCAGGGTATACGGCGGCGTATTGAGGCTAGTGCGGCTTTTGCCGGCAGACACAAGGCCATACTACGCCAAGTATGCAAGGGAGAATTTCGTTAACTACCGTGACGTTGACGTAAGTGAAACACCTCTTGATGAACTCTTCCAACGAGCTTACAATCACTCACTTTGGGTGCTCAACAAGGTACATTGATTCTTTTTTGTTTGTCCTTTGTGAACCGTAGATTCTAGATACTCTGTGTTGCTCATTAGTTCTTAATCGGTTTGTAGTATTCAGTTGACGAATCTGCTGCAAAGAAGTTGAAAGAGATTTGTTTCGAATGATAACGCGCACCACCTGTTCGACGTTATTCCCCTGAGAGATCTCGAACAAGTTTTTTTTTTCTTCTAAGGCTTCAATGATTTGTTAAGTGGGTAACATCAAGTATACTACTTTTGATCTTAGTTTCATACCTATATCAAGAACAGAGGTTGCTCGCGTGTCTTTTTCTTTTCTTTTGTTTTCTCTTGACTTTTGCTGCAGGCATGTGTTGACTGCTCAATCATTCACGTCTTGTTTGAGTAGTTTCTTGTTTGTTTGCTTCATCCTGAATAAGTTGCTGTGATTTTACATTCTTATAGTCAAAAACATTCCATTACTTGACAAAAATTAATATCATCCATCTTTAGAAATGAAAGAAACGCATTATAGCAAAGTGGCAGTGATGTAATAACGAACATTAGAGTAGGGATTGTTTGGGTACAAGTGATTTATCATGTAGAGTATTAGTCCACACAGTCCTTGTCGGAAGTCGAAAATGTTTACATGAAACGAGCCTAACCAAACCAAAGTGTTTCTGAAGATTATTTTTGCTCACAACAGGCTAAAAAACAAGTTGGGCTGGTTAATAATTATGGAGTTGTGTTTTACTTCCCTCACACGTGTCTGCAGTTTTTGCACGTGTCTAACCTGGTACATTTCAGTATGTTGAAATTTCTTCTTTCTTGTTTCTTTCATATAGCATCTGTCGTATTATGTGAAGCCGTAGTTGTCATTATGTTAATGATAAACTTTTTTTTTTGTTAATGATAAACATGATAATGGAAATTTTAAAAGAAAAATTACGAAATGATTTTGTAATAATGTAATAGTATCGGGTTACTGAATACTCCCTCCGTTTCAAATTATATGTCATTCTAGAGTAAAATTTTCGTTTTAAAATAAGTGTTGTTTCATAATTTCAATGCAAAATTTATTGATTTTAAATGTTACTCTATTTTTTCATTGGTTGAAAAGTGGTTAGGTGTATAGGTAATTGTGTTTTTATTTTGAAAATATGTAAAATTAATTGTTTTCTTAATCTGTGTGCAAAACTCTAGAATGACAATTAAATTGAGACGGAGTGAGTATAATGGATATGAATGTGTGTGTGACATTAACTACTTGTCTTAGTTGTCTAACTTCCATAAAGAGAGAAAAGAAAGCAGCAGTTACCATGAGAAACGAACATCAGCTTCGAGTAAAATCAAAATCTAAAGTTTCCTCGGGCCAGGTGGCTTTGACCAAAATTATCTTCAAAATTATCATTTCCCTTTTTTCAAAAATAAAAAAAACTAAAAAATTGTCATTTCCCTTTCTACCCCTCTCTTGACAAGTATCAATCATGTAATCAACACTAATCCTTTCGTAACTAATACGGTAAAGAGTCGTTATATAACGATTTGATTAGGATCTGAAATTTCCAATCAGTGATTTTTCTTGCATATATTCACCAATATGTGTACTAGAAATTTAAACCATTACCACACAATTTATGTTACACTTACCAAGAGATAGATTGTTATATATAGGATTTCAGAAAAGTTTTCTCTTTTAAAATTTATGTACAAGCAAAAATAATAATTGGGTTTATGTGTAAATAAATACATCAACCATCAGGCAAGTTAAACGAGTTATAAAAAGCCCAAAAAGGTAGAAGAGAAATCATTTACCAACGATTTATCTTCAAGTCATTGGTTCTCACCTCTCTCATTCTCTTACTCAGCTTCTTCCACGAAAGTAACTTGTAAAATAAATACTTAAGAAAAATCACTATGGGAGATACCGCAGAGGACCAAGCTATGGTGGAAGCTCCCGAAGCAACGAGCTTCTCGGAGCTTCTTATGCTGTCTGACGGATTTGATGATCACCACCGCGAAATTAATGGCGGTGATGGTGGAGAAGATAGCTTCAGTTTTGTATTCTCCGGTACAAATGGGTCCAAAATGCTCTGTTTCAGCGGAGACTGTCAAAACGGCGGCGGATCACCCTTCCTAGAACCTTCTCTTCCTTCCGGAGTATCCGTTTCTCTTCATGCACTATTAACACTTGCAAGACCTCAAACGACACTTGTACCCTCGTGAGACTCTGATTTCTGATTCTTTGCATATATATATATATATATATAATTTTAAATAAGTAATAAAAATGGTCTTGCATAGATGCATGCAGGAAAGTTGCAATATTTTATTTCTTTGATTTTTTTGTGCGGTATCAAAAGTTTAAAGATTATTTTTGTGTGCAAATTACTTTGTTGTGAAGAAGAAGAGAACCGGGTCGAGTAATGGGCAAGATATGGATCATAACCGGAAACCGAGTAAGAAATGCAAGCGAAATCAGGAAAAATCATCAGTTCGAATTGCTAAGGTGAGGCATTAAAAGAATTACATTTGTATGTTTTATAGTGCTATAAAAGCACACTTTAATCGGTTTCTAATTCATACTTTTAAAATAGGTAAGGAAAGAAAGGTTAGGGGAAAGAATTGCAGCGTTACAGCACTTGGTTTCTCCATACGGAAAGGTAAATTTCTTAACCGTAATAGTGTTGCTCAATTATATAAGCAAGTAAGACCTGTATCACTTTAAGCAAAATGAAAAAGAAAAAGAGACCTGTATCACCAAAGAAATGAAAAGAATTTGTCATAATATTTTTTATCTGCAATACTATATTTATATGTTTAGTTTTTCCAAAAGGAAGCTTAAGAAGTCGCGATTTGGGGCATAGTGTAAGTTTGGCATCCAATGTAAAAATCAAAGACAATGAAACTTGGTCAATAAAAAAAAACTTGGTCAATAAACTAAAGTATATTTTTTTTTCTTTACTCTTATATTTGGGTATTTTGGGTAATTAAAGATAATCATTACAATTTACAGTAATTAATGATATTTTGTACTCTTTTATTTTTGAGAGGAGTGAAAGAGAATATTGACTATCTGTAATGGTATATTATTTTGAGGGAAAACATCAAAATTTGAGAAAAAATATTCTCCAATGGTGTATTATTTTGAGGAAAAAAAGGAATATATAAATATTATCCCCTCAAATTTGAATGATTTTCACAAACTCATTTTTATTATTAATTTTTTTTTTTACAAATTGACCCTTAAATTTTTATATAGTTTTATTTTATTTCTAAAAGATTAAATATTTGTGTTTTATACTTTGTTTAAATTGATTATAGTTTTATTAATAGAATATAAGTTCATATAAATCATTTTCTTTTCTACTAGAAACTAAATTTAGTTACAAAATAAAAATTTAATTAAAATAAAAATTATATTTGGATTAAATTTGCAAGTTGTTAAAATATATTAACACTATTAAAAATAATAATTATTAATGGAATATATTTGGAATATTCTATTTTTGAGAAGAAAAGTAAGAGAAACCATTGGAATAAAACCCCAAACTTTTGAGTTTAAGAGAAAAAATAATGTAAACCAATTGGAGTTACTCAAAAACTCAACCCAAATAGTTCACTTGACTTTTCTTACCATTGAGAATTGAATGTGGAGAAAAACATTTCGTCATGTTGACAGACAGATGCAGCTTCTGTACTGCATGAGGCGATGGGTTACATCAAATTCTTACAAGACCAGATCCAAGTCCTCTGCTCTCCTTACCTCATCAACTATTCTCTTGTATTAAGTTTCTCTCTATGATTTATTTTTATTTTATTTTATAAAATTATTATTATATATATTTCTAATAACTTAATGATTTTCGGTCTGACTTGCCGGTGTTCAGGACGGTGGAGTTGTTACCGGAGATATTACACTGGGGAAGAAAGTGAGAGACTTGAGAAGCAGAGGATTATGCCTTGTACCTGTCTCGTCCACTGAACACGTTGAAAACTCAAATGGTGCTGATTTATGGTCACCTGCTACTGCTAGTATGGGTCACACTATGTCACCCTCTCAATGAATCAAGGGATATTAGATTTACTTTCAGTCTTTCCTAGGCTGATATAATCATAGTCTTACTTTTTTTTTTGCTCAAGAGCTACTATTTACGAAATTGACCCTTTTCCTTTTGTATTTTGAGGATCAACTGAGTGATATAAGAATTAAGAAAGAATCTGGTTTAAATCTTTACTGATTATAAAACTAAATATTCAAATTCCAAGTGTTTCTCGTATGTCTCAGTCACAACCAGGAGTGTGGAACTGAGAGGCTAAGATTTGCTCACGTTGTCACACACCTAAACTGTAGTAACGCTGCCACCAAACTACATCACTCACTTGAGTTGGAGACGTGCTAAACGTTTTATTTTATTCCTACTTTCACAAAGCAATAAAACAAAAGAAAAAGATAAAGTTTTGTACAACAATCTTAACCCTGATGTTTGTCTAAACTTTAAAAGATAATCATTTTACTTAAGATTTTAAAATGGGATTATACTTTAATTAATTTATTTTTTTAAAAAAGAAGGGATTACACTTTAATTTAATACTTATTTATAAGGGTTATATCGTAAAAAGACAAGATTATGAGGATTTATTACAAATCAAACACTTCCCAGTCACCAGAGATAATCTCATCACTTCGCCGTACGACCGTAGATTCTCTCACCTTCTCTCTTCTCAAGTCTTTCCCTCTCTCTCCGGTCTTCGCAGATGGCTGTGTTACCAATCGGCTCTCACTTTGCGCCGCCGCACAAATTAACAAAGAGACACGCCGTCGCGACATCACCCCCTATCTCTCTCTCAACCCGATTGCCTCAAACTATCTCCGTTTCAAAACTCTCTGGAATAACAAACTCGAGGTTGTCTAGACACAGTGTTCTCGTAAGAGCCGAGGATAAGATAAGAGTCACCTCTTCTTCTTCTTCTCTAGAAGAACCATCTCAACCACTCGATGACCCAGAGCTTGAGGTTTCACAAAATTCGATTTTGACAAGTACCCATTTCTTCTTATCGATCAAAGTGATCGAAAGTTTATGCCTTTACGTATATGATCCACAGGATTTGCTGGACGGGTCAGGATCATGTGACCCTATTTGTTCGGTGGATGAACCTAGCTCGAGTTACTTTGAAGCGAATTATCAACCAAAGACGGATATAGTCAAGGCTGTTGCTATTCTTGCAGCGGCTCTTACAGGAACAGCTGCTATTAATCATTCTTGGGTCGCTGCTAATCAGGTTCTTGCCTCCTTCTTTTTGTGTGTTTGTTTTGGTTTCAAACACTTATCTTTGGAGAATGTCATGGTACAGGATGTGGCTATGGCGTTGTTGTTTGGAATAGGGTACGCAGGAATCATCTTTGAGGAGTCTTTAGCTTTTAATAAAAGTGGAGTTGGGCTTCTGATGGCTGTGAGTCTGTGGGTTGTGAGGAGCATTGGGGTAAGAATCTGATTAATGTTCATTATTTGTTGGATGAATATTTTAATTTATATTCCTTGTGACAGGCTCCTTCAACTGAAATAGCTGTTGCAGAGCTTCAACATGCAACAGCTGAAGTAAGTGAGATTGTGTTTTTTATACTTGGGGCAATGACCATTGTGGAGATTGTTGATGCTCACCAAGGGTTTAAGCTGGTTACTGACAATATAACCACTCGGAAGCCAAGGACGCTTTTATGGGTGGTAGGTGATTTAGTCTCTCTAGCTTTTGAAAGTTATCTTCTTCTTCAAGGGTTTACTCTTAGTTGACTCGTGGTGTTGTGCAGGTCGGCTTTGTGACTTTTTTCCTCAGTTCGATTTTAGACAACCTGACCTCTACCATTGTCATGGTTTCTTTACTCAGGAAACTGGTTCCTCAATCAGAGTACCGCAAGTATGTAATTTTTAACTTATTTATGCTCCTGTTAGTTAGTTTCTTTGTTAAGCTATTCACATTGAGAAACGTATTAGCTCTGTGATATAGAGCTTAGATTCTGAATAAAACATATTGGTCCTGCCAGGACTTCGCTTTTTAAGTTTATTTTAGCCGTTACTGTAATACTACTCTGTTTTGCGTTCAGTATTGTGATCACAGTAACGTTGATTTTCACGGTTGATAACCAATGACAGACTTCTAGGAGCTGTTGTGGTAATAGCAGCCAATGCAGGAGGAGCATGGACCCCAATTGGTGATGTTACTACAACTATGTTATGGATTCATGGTCAGATATCCACTTTGCCGACTATGCAGGTTCTCCTTCTCTTCTGCGACAGTCACATAATGATATCATATTACCTTTCTTTCTCAAGCGCAACTGGTATCATTAGTCTAGGTTACAGGGTTAGAGTATATTTAAGAACAACGAATGTTTAGAAGGGGACTGGATAGGCTACGTTACAGGCTTGGATAAGTTGGTAAAGTATTCACCTGCTTGGTCATTTCAACTGTCACGTACGGCACTTCCTAGCCAGCTCCTAACATTGAGTTGTAGATTGACATAGTTAACAGATATAACACAGATAAATAACTTATTCTATTCTGACGTTCCTGATGATGGTTAACTTTCTTTCCTTTTAGGGCCTTTTCATACCTTCGGCCATATCTCTTGCTGTTCCGCTAGCCCTCATGTCCTTTAGCAGGTTACAAACTCTTCCTTGCATTCTCTAACAGAAACAGAAACTAAGCTTGGCGTCAATTGTCTTGTAACTGCAGAAACTGATTGGTGTAAGTTTGTTTTTTCTTCCTTCCTCAGCGAGGTAAATGACAAGGGACAGGATTCTTCAGATGTATTAGCTTCTGAAAAGATGGCTCCAAGAGGGAAGCTAGTGTTTGGAGTTGGCCTCGGAGCATTGGTTTTTGTTCCAGCCTTTAAGGCTCTAACTGGATTGCCTCCTTACATGGGTATCTTGTTAGGTCTTGGAGTTCTTTGGGTCTTGACAGATGCCATCCACTACGGTGAATCAGAAAGACAAAAGCTCAAAGTACCTCAAGCCTTGTCTAGAATCGATACACAAGGCGCTCTGTTTTTCCTTGGCATTCTTTTATCCGTTAGCAGGTACTAATATTCCACTACTCATGAATTAGAAACCTTTTGTGATGTTTCTTTTCTATTTTCTTGCAGCCTTGAAGCAGCTGGGATCCTCAGGGAGATTGCAAACTACCTTGATGCTAATATACCAAACGTTGAGCTAATAGCTAGTGCAATAGGTGTTGTGTCAGCAATCATAGACAATGTTCCATTGGTTGCAGCGACTATGGGGATGTATGACCTCACATCCTTCCCTCAAGATTCAGAGTTTTGGCAGCTGGTTGCGTTCTGTGCTGGTACTGGTGGTTCTATGCTTATCATTGGTTCTGCTGCTGGTGTAGCCTTCATGGGGATGGAGAAAATTGATTTCTTTTGGTACTTCCGAAAGGTAAAGATACATTCTTTTTGTTTGCGTTAGACTCAGTACTCTTTACAGGCTCTTGAGCAAGAAACTCTGTTTCTATTTTTTTCCATGCAGGTAAGTGGTTTTGCGTTTGCTGGTTATGCTGCTGGTATCGCAGCTTATTTGGCAGCTCAAAGTCTTCATTTTTCGATCCCAACGACGGTGGCTCAGATCCCATTTCTCACTGGTTCGTGAGTTGCATCATAGTGAAATCCCTGGCTGGCTGCAATAATAAGACATCATCACTTCGTCGACATGCTGCTTTGGAAAAAAACGAAAAAAAATAAACTATTTATTTATTTCATATATACTCGATTCTATCATTAGTACAGGATGAATCATCCAGTAAGATTTTATGCATTTCGAGGTTTTATGTGCATCTTTGAAAGTGTAAGACTATAGTTTGAGGAAAACAAACTCTTCAATTGCAGAAATGTCTTTCATCTTTTCCAAAGTTTCTTTGCAAACACGAAGAAGTCTCGTGTCAAGATAATCGGGAGATTTGAAGAAACATACGTCACTTTCATAGCATATGTGATACTTCTTAAACAGTAAACTATAATCTTCAGGATTTAGTAATTGTTATTAAACAATAACCACTCAAATTGTATTAGTTTTATCTTTCTAGAATTTACTGCAAACAACAATCCCACAAAGCATTACTGTGTAAACTAAAAGACGCAATGTAGCCAACAGAAAACAACCCCAGAAACTCTTGAATATAGAACAGAACGAACACAGCAGAAGAAGAAGAGATTGTTAAAGAAAAACCTAGTATGCTACATCAGAAAGAAATGAACAAAAAAAAAAAACTGTACTGCGATTCACTATGATCCGCTGCTTGATCATTCTCTTAGAGCAAGCAACCAAGCCAGTAATGAGACTCTTCCTTGTGTGCTTAAAAGCTGCTTAAAATTAGTCTTGTGAACAAATCGGCAGTTTTCTTTCACCTGCAGCTACAAAAAATACAACGCAGCGTTCAGTAAAACAGCAGTCAAAAGACACAACCATCTTTGGACAGATCATGACCAAAAACGTTTAACTTTCTGTAAGATGAAAAGGCTTACTTACTTACACTACCTACTGATACTTCTTTTCTTTGCTTACGGGCATCATCGGAATCTTCATTGAGATACTTCGAATGACTTTAGAAGTTGAGTTCAGTTGATCGTCGATGTGGTCTTGGTACTTCTCGTACACAAGAGGAACAGAGAGACTGAGAAGAATCCCTGTTATAGATAAAACAGGGACGCATAATTAAAAACAAATTACTCATATAGACTGAGAATTTATATACTCCAGAGTCAAGATTAAGAATGCTCACCAAAGTAGACAAGAGTGAGGGAGTTGATAAACGTCCCCACATAAGATAAAGCCCACAAAACCAATGACACCTATTAAAAACCAACGATAATGATTTAAGAATAAACAAGTAAAAGTATCCAGATTCGAAAGGATACAACAACAAATCCAAATAGTTTTTGCCAAGTAATGAAGAAACCTGAAGGAGACGAATAGGGTTTCTAGCAATGGTGATATCACTTGCAATTGAGAGTACACGATTGATCCAGAACCGAACACCATCAGCAGCCTTGACTGCAAACTCCTCAGGGATTTCCATATTCGGAACTGGCGGTAGAGGTCTGAAACAAAACCATGAGTCAATTTCTCATATCATAGTTCCAAGAAGCTAAGAATATACAGTGAAAGAAGACATTAAACATTACAAAAAGAGTAGAAATGTTAATTACCGGTTGAGTAGAGAAGCAGACTTGGCCCACAAGAAGAGGATGGCAACAAGAAGAAGGAGAACATTGGAGACAAAAGACAAGAGATTGTAACCAGCTCTCTCGAACAGAAACCAAAACACAGTAGAAGAGATTAAGACAATGACTGCACCACTCATGTTTCTCCATAACAGCAAATCGGCAACTGCATATACCAAAAAACAAAAAAAAAAGCCTTTAAATTTCAGATTGTGATCTAAGGACACAACACACTAGTTACATGTCGAATGGTTCCTAAATGTCTCTAAATTCGTTATAACTCATGATCCCTAAATGCGCAACAAAAACCCTAAATATAACCGATCAATCCAGAGCATTGAGCACGAAGAACGTATTAAATCGTAAAATCTCAACGATTCTCCATTAAATCGAGAGTCGAAGAATCAAGAAGGAGGAGAGGAATGGTAAAGAGGAAAAGAGACTCGCCTGAACCACCACCGAGAGATTTGTGAACAGAAACGGGCGTTGAAGAAGAAGAAGCGGAATCATCTCCCATGGCGATTTTAGCAGTTAGGGTTCTTCCGCATACAGTTTTCAAGGCTAATAAAAGATCAAAGCTTTTCGATTAATCGTGCCTCTTTCTCTCTCTCTCTAAATCAAAGATCAAAGCTTCTTCCTTTACGCTTCGGCCACCACAAAGTTTATATGATTTAATTAAAAGTATACATTATTGTATTTCCTATAGTTTTTTTATATATTTAGTTACCTTTCTAAATAAAAATAAGTTAAGAAGCTCAACATTTGTTTTTTTCTTCTTAATGACTTTGAACCTATGTAGTTCTTTAGAATCAATTTGTTTAAGATCCTATTTCAAAATCTGATTTTGAGTTTTCTCTTATTTAATCATGGACGATTTAACAAATCTGAATCAGGAACATGAAATTATTATAAGTTTTATTCTTTATTTTTAATGTAACAAAATAATTGCCAGAGTTCAAGAACATAGAAAAAGGAATTTCTATTTATCAGAACTCTTACAAAAAAAAATCAAACAAACAAATAACAATATTTAATTTCAATTAGTAATATGAATATATTTTAATTAAAATAAAACTTATTATTCATAGAAAAGACAAGTGTATTAGGTATCTAATGGAGTTGTCAAGAACTCTCAAGAGAATCTCAGAAAATATTTTGTTTATTTTAATACTTAAATACTAGGATAAGATTCGGACCTTGCGCCGAGTGAGTTTAAGAAAATAAAAATATATACATTTTTTTTTATAACACTGATTTATAATAATGCTCGAGGTAATACAAATGAGAAAGAGTAATAATAGAAAGGAGTAGACATCAATAGACATCGAAACAATGATGAAATAGAACCTCACCCAACCTCTAATTGCTGAGCTTCCAAATTAAGTAAGTGATGTAACCAAACGGGAGCATTGCGGGCGATGTAAGACTGGTTACGGTGGTCGCGAGTGACACTTATTGCAATAGCGTCAGCAGCTTCATTGCGTTCTGATAGTGCATGATCTAGACTCCATAAAACAATCCGGTCGAGCAGGAAGGAGATGTTGTGACGGATATGGCTGAGGCTTAGATGGTCATTCGGATTTGTGAAAGCGGCATGGAGATTCCCTGAAGATGTCTCAAAAATAATATTCGAGAAATGTAAATTGTGAATGCATTCAACTGCCCAAAAAAGGGACCACATATCAGCCTCTGTTTTTTGTACGCATATAAGAATAGGCACGACGACTATGCATAATTGTACATCCATTTTCATCTCGTAGGATCCATGAAGCACCACTAAGACATTTCGAGCTTAACCATGAGGACCCGACATTACATTTGAGGAAACCACGAGGTGGTTTTCTCCATCGGATCATTGGAGTAATCACATCATTGGCAATCTCTTTTGTTCC